ATCGTAACTATCGTCCTCTTCGACATTATCTGGTTACCAGAAGACTAAATGTTACGAAAGTTATAAGTGGAAGGATGAATATGCGTGTTCAGCAACAGTAAATGTTTATTTATTCTAGTATAATTAGCGTTTTTATAAGTAATTTTAACACTTGTATTTGTTCACGGTCGGCAAACAGCAATTGCCACTCTCCATATGGCACCATTTTGAGATGCCAAAGCAGCTACGTGTGAGCTGTTGGTCACTTTTCTCGTTCTTACAATGTTTAGAAAAGATATCTTTAGACTCTTCTGCTAAATACTACATGGATCAGGCTAAGCTACATTGTTAAAGCTTTGGATGACTTTGCTATGCTCACCCAAGCTGCTGGCAGTCCGACATTGCAGTCTGCAAGACATCAGTAGAAAGATTACGTGCTCACCAAGAGGGCATCAAAAAGGCTTCCATGTTTGGTGCCTTTCCTCCTGACTAATTACTCCTGGAAAAATTAACTAATTAATCGGAAGACAAAACTGCAAGAGGAATTCGTGGCACAAAGCAAATCGCCCCTACGGACTCAGTAGGAATGTGGGTCGTCTAATAAAGTGGGGTGCCGATATATGTGGCGGCGTTTGAGGGACGGTGCAAACACGCCCCGCGCTCGCGCACGCACTGACGTTGGCGCGCACACACACAGCTGTTTGCGCATATCAGCGCTCGCAGTGGACGCCTCGGTGTTGTGCACACTCGCATCTTTAATGGAATCACCTCCTACCAGCAGATTAGCCCGTGCTAGGAGGTGGGATAACTGCCTAACCAGTGTTGGGGGAGGGGGCTAGGGCAATGGCATCCAGTCCTTATTGATTGATCGATGGCATTGAGGCTTGGACCTGCCTTTGATCTGCCCCGCCCCGAGCTTGTCTCGTGCAAAGTCTGGCGCGGTTGTCGAGACGGCCTTTTATCACCAGCCCGGGACGCCGACAGTGTGGCGAATTGTGGCACCGGTGATGGATCTATTTTGCGTGTGTTAGAGCCTTCTGTGAATAAAAAGGGAACTTGCAACATCCTACTGTTGCTGAAGCAGTTGTCATTCATTGTAGAAAAAAAAACTGTGTAACTGAAATTTAATGCGTAATTTCAGTAACAGTGGGGGCTAACGAATTTGTTTTTATTCAGCCAGATTATTCATATAACCACAAATTTCCTCTTAGAAAAGAGGCATGAGAAGACTACACCGGGAGACACTGGTTGTAAATGGGGCTCACGCGTTTTAATTTCAATGTGCTCCATGACCTAAATTTCCTTGTTATCCTTCCAGACCTATTGTGCTTTCCATAACACCATTGTTAATGGGTGCCGGCGTCGAGAACCGACCTTAATTATTGACATTCCGGTTTGATTCCGTCGGTTTTGAGGCCCCCATCAGAAGTGGGCACTTTTTCTCCTAACCTTCTTGTAGTTTTTTTTTTGAGAACACTGCTTAATTCCCACCTTGGATCACTTCGTTATTATTATTGACAAGGAGGAGCATTTTCTAGATCTCCTGTTCGCACGCTCTTCCCTTGGCGGCTGAAATTGGTTCGAATTCAGGCCAGTAACCCATCGTAGATAAACACAGGCCATTGGGCGGGGGGTGGGGAGACAATCCTTGGATAAACAAAACCGCCTGCGGCCATTTGCACGCACATGGTATCACTTCGATTGTGTCTGATTATCTGTGTTTATATCTTCGCGCTTGGCATGTACTACGGGTGATTGATGGGTTGACCGATTCCGGTACGGATGCCTCAGCACAGTTTCAAGCCTACCAATCGTCAGCAGGACTTGCCTTCTAACCTTGTCCATTTGCCGTGGTGACGCCGCAGATGAATGGGGGTGCGAAGGTTGGGGGACGACGGAGAGGTCCGGCCGTTTTGATGACAATCACCCTCTACTAACACCGGAGACTCAACGACCCGGTCTTGTGAAGCAGATGAACCAAGTGTATTCTACCATCGGCAGCTGATGAAGCGTTTTAACTCACTTGGTCCGTATTTTGTTCGAGGGGTTGAGCTGAACCAGCACAGCACCTCGAGATGTGGATAGGATGCTTTTTCTAACGAACCTTATGTTGACTAACTCCACGTCATCAAATACCACACGAATCTAGGTCATCGCATTGATAGGAATTGGGAACCCATTCACACGCCTGTTTGGCTTTTACCCTTGTTTGTCTAACAGCCTTAGTTCCAATGAATACGGGAAATTGTACGGACTTATTGACAACCATCAATAGAAGTTCCAAGGTCCTGATTTAGTTTCTAAAACAGCTTTTCCCAAAATAAGTAATTCAGTGCGAGTTGAAATTAGGGTGGACATAGTTAAATATGCGCACTTTCTGCCTTAAATAGCCGAAAGGCTTCTGATGACGATGATTAATAAAGGTAGGAAAAACGCGTGCCTGTTCTCGCGTGTATGACTGAGCTTCGTTTAAGCTGGCGCATGGTGGTCACTACTGTTCGCGTGTGTGCGCGTGTGTTCTTTGTTTTTAAAACCGAGGCTGTCACTCAGGTGCATACGTATGAACGCGCGTGCAAACAGCACAAAAACAAATTCCAAGGTCATTCCAATTCTACCTGCTCTGCTTAGTTAGAACTCTGAGCAGGGCCTAGGGCAGCTATGACTAATTTCCAGGCTTGTACACTATGGTTAAAACCTCAAGAACACCAAAGAGATTCTCCCGATTTACCCCCCACAGCCCCCTTAGATGTTTTTTTTTGCACTTGCATGCAATTCTAGCCATGTTCAAAGCTCATAGCTCAATAACGAAAAAAGGCAGTTATGAACACAATTGTTATGGAAGCGGTCATTCCAAATTCATAGACTATTAACAAAATGCATTTGGAACCCCTCTGTATGTGGAAGTGAGGATACACTGGGTGATAGAGCAGTTATGGTTTCGTGAGGTTGACTACCACAAGTTACATTTGAAAACTCTTCCCTTAGTTGTAAAATTCAACTACCTACTCACAGGTATCTGTTTATATTTGGAGAAAAAGCCAAAATAAATTGAGTTTCCCCGAGGCTTAAATGGAGGTGGGGGTCACATGTAATTGAAAGAATTGATGCTGAGGACCTAGTAACGTGTCTCCATGACGCGTCAATTGCAAAGCGATGGTCAATGCATGATACTAACAGTTGAATCAGCCCACATGCGTCGGGATCAAGTGTCGGTGTCGGTGAATCTTTTTCAGTTGCATTCTGTTGGTGTAAATAGGGGAAGCAGTTATCTGTGAAGCACATTTTCTTGATCACAAAACCCTTCAACCGGACTGAAGCTAGCTGTCTGTGATCTGTGCGCCTTCATGCTAATGCATTAACTCCCTAGTGCAAGACGCGTTTGTCTGGTATGTGGTGTAATCAGACATAATGGACGTGAGTCGGCTCGACAAAGAACACGATTAATTAGCCTGACTTTTGCCCTGGGCCGCCGCGTCTTCAGATTTGAACATTTCCAACCGTTAATTTGCTGTTTGAAGTTAGTGCGTCACTGCAACGCACGGCCAGAATAGCATCCGTTAATCCTGTCTGGGTGCAAAGCCAACGCGCACAATCCTGGTGGCCTTCAACTACGCCTTTACAAGCAGCATGTTAGAGTGGAGTGAGCTGAGTGATTCGAGGTTTCTTTTTGTTGTTCTTAAAATGTACTGGTTAGCCCAAATCATCCGTTTTATCTTCTTCATGAAGGCTACGCACCTGACTTCCATAAAACTATGACTGTGATGAGTTAGTTTATCTGTCGTAATTCACAACTACGGCTTGTGGCGTGTGATGGAACGAGTAGGCTACACCACAAGGAAGCGTCATTGAACCAACACAGGGACCAATTCCTCAAACAGTCCAGTTTCATTACTGTCGGTACCAGAGTGCGAGAAAGAAACGAACGATTGCCTCATTATGTCCACGTGACGATAGATTGTTGAACTCGTCAGTCACTTCTGCAGATTGCAAAGGGCTACACTCATATCCCTAGGGCGAAACTCGAATCAGTCCAACTTTTTACGTGAACTGACTTGGTATTTTGCAGTCTAATTTAATTTACATCACAATAAATTTCCATCTTGAGCAATTTGAAAGCCCTAATTTTCTTTCAAACGCCTATGTTAAATTATTATGATAAACACTGGCTCTTTGTCATCCATTAGAGTCTCATCTATTATTCAAAGCGCTGTCTTCACACAGATTTTTCACCCTAGTAGTCCTGTAATCTCAGTGATTTTCTCCAACACGTGACTAGGATTGGTGGATTCAAGGAATTATCTTTTCAAGGAAGTAGACATGTTTCGTTTTATCGAGGTTATCAAGGCATTAGGACGACGACGACGGCGACGATGAAGCTGAAGGTAAAGACAGGTGTGCTGGGTGGAAATTGGGCCATGCAGGAGGGACTAGTTCAGATACCTTCATAAGCACAAACGACCCAGAAACATCCTACTCCCTTTGCACCCCCTATTTCCGATTGCTGCGGTAAATTTGTCTGTTTTACTATGATGGCCATAGAAGTTCCAGTTATTTAACGAAAAGATTTCACCATTCATGTGTCGTTGTTACAGAGACCTAGGCAACTATAAAGCACAAGTTAAAGGGCCTTAGTATTTACCAAATTTCGATTAAGGCCTTCTGCTTAAGTGGCCTTTACAAATCTAAAGTTTGATTTTGAAACACGAAACTATAATGCTGCTTACCACATACACGCACACATAGAAGGAAAAAAGGAGTATAGCATAACCCTGTGGACTTGTTTACACAAAAAATACAGCCATCTCTCCCAGCAACACAAAGGGGAGAATGTTCTGTCATCGCCTTGACTCCTCCTGTCCCAGGCACCCGGACATTAATCACCTCAGTGTACGCGTCCGAACGCCTTCCTCAAAGGCCCGGACAAACGGCCTCACGGCCATTGTTTCCTTTTCCGCGTGAAGCAAAATTTCATGATTAATGCTCATTTCGTGAAGCAGGGCTGAGTTTGGTGCGTGCACGGAATGATTGAGAGCAGCAGTGCTTGGGGCGCGGTGGTGGCGATTCGCGCGCATGCAGCTCCTGGCGCCAGCACCCCGTCGCGTTGCTACATTCCGACGTGCAATAGAAAACGTCGCCGTTCGAGCCAAGACACACGAAGCGCCTTAGTGGTCAATGGAGGTGCACAGATCAGGGCACTTCGAATCGTCTGGTCGCCTGTGACAGCGATACACAACCCATGTTGGACGCTCTCACAAATACATTTCTCAATCTACACATCTCTTGCATCCAATCTGTGTTAACTCGAAGGTTGAAAAGCGTCATGAATGAATTCCAGCTCACACGTGCTACTATGCCTGTCCTACTCTAGGTCGACTCATAGACTAACATACATGCCGTCGGCGCGCCACACGAGTGCTGGGTGATCGAATGAACTGGCTGCAGTCTTTTTACGTTTAGCCTGAACATAACCGTACACAACAATCATTGAGGTGTCTGGGAGCCAAAACGCTGATGAAAATCGACTTAATTGATAAATTGCAAATTTTGTGTGTGCGTATGCAACTAAGCTTCACATTATCTCTTATTTCGATCCATTTTATCCTACCTTTAAAGATGATAATGAGGGAACGTTTGTTGGCTTTTGATTTCTTAACACAATCATCTCAGATACTATTTCAAATGCATGAATATGCTATTAGCAATCTACAATCGACATTTCTTATTAAGTACATAATCCTAATTGCAGGGAAGCAGTGTGTTGGCGGTAGAACCTTCGGTATTAGGTAATTTTTTGTTTTCTACTCGCAGACGCCGGTAATGCTTGTGACGCCCAACCCTGCAAAAACGGTGCCTCTTGCCGAGAAAGAGACGTCCCACAAAGCATCTACTACGAGCCTCAGAATCGACTTCCCTACGAATGCGACTGTCAATTCGGTTGGGAGGGCGTCAACTGCACCATAAATGTCGACGACTGCAAAGGCAATCCATGCCAGAATGGAGGCCGGTGCGAAGATAAGCCAAACGCCCAATTCGTCTGCCACTGCAGAGATGGTTTTATTGGTGAGCTTGAACATTGTTTTTAACGAAATTTTGAAATCCTTGTTGAAAGCTACGGCCCTCCCCTAATCCAGCTGTAATTAGGAAATCTAAAGAACTCAATTATTGAGAGTTCTTGGGACAGTGTAACCACCTCGAAATGACTTAATTTTTTCGCTTGGACAGACATCAGATTCGTAGTTCAACAGCTCTCTTTGACATCTCTGATTATTGAAGCTGTACGAGTGACCGCAGCGGAACTAGTGCTGAGGTATCTGTGGGATGGTCGAACATATGCTTGGGAAGTTTGAAGCTTGCACTTAAATTGTCTTTGAGTTCAGACTAATCCGTCGTTAGAACCTTGGTATTTATGCCCGTGCATTTCGTAATTTAAAGACTAATGGATTCACATGCCTTGTGCGTTAAGAGGTTGGCTTTAACCAATGTTCTTGTTTCGCCATACTTATAAATTAGTCGAAGACCAATGACACATTTTCATTGACATTGATTAACAAACCCTGCGCGGCTGAACTCATTAGCCGCAAAATCGAGTACGCTGAATGAGCAAGAAGGAAGTCAGTCGCTGACGACACAAACCAAATTTAAGCTGAGTGCAGTCAAATGCTGGCTACGTCACCTGTGATGAAATTGCTCAAATCCACTCAGGGGCCCTTTTGGCGCCTCTCACACTCCTACAAGCACAGTGAGCCATGCAAAAGCACTCCTCCTGCATTACATTGTTGCTTGAGCACTTTGGAACCACTCACGTGGCCCAGTCAGCCTATGTCAGCACCCGTGTTGAGGTTCTGCATGCTATTGATGGCATGCTGTGTTGAAGAATGCAGCGACCGGATTAGTGAGCGTGAATCAACACAAATCATAAGATTCTTTAAGACGCCGGCAGTAATGCAAAGCCTCATGGTTTTCTGCAAGTATTTTATCTTCCGACAGCGACGAAGTTCGGATAAAGCACTAATTTGCTCAACAGTCCATCTTAGACTCAGCTTGCTGGATTGATTTGAGCGCCACTTGGAGCAGTGTTGGCTTAAAAATTGCCCTCATTATTTTCAAAGACAAATTCGCCACTTGATGTTGGTCTTCATTGGTAACTCCAAATGAGGCTTAAACGGATTAAATGCAATCGTGAGGACATGTCTCTCCTACCAGCGTGCTTTAAGTGGAGAGAAAACTGCGCGTACCTATTCATAAATTTGAGCTGGAGGCCTTTGAATGGGGAATACCTGAAGGTAGATTTATGATCAGTTGTGATTTCGCCCCCATGCCCCATTTTTTGCATTTAGGCCAAAAATGCGAGTACCGCGACCCCTGTTTGGATTCGCCCTGCCAAAATAACGGCCGTTGTGATTCCTCGCCACTTGGAGTTTACCAGTGCATTTGTCCGCGATGGTATGAAGGGCAAAACTGTGAAAAGGTAAGTCAAACAAACTCCAGTTTACAGCCTATCTTTCGTCAGTACCCTTTGCTTTCGTATAGAATGAAAAACTTTGTTAAGCCGTTCATCCGCTTTTACGTGCGTTTAAAACTATGATAGGTGAGTATGTACAATCTTGGACTGCTATAAAACTGGAGGTTGTGTATTTTTAGTGACACCTTTAATCATCCTATGTCACTCCTAATGATTTATGCAGCTCTGTGGCCTGGAGAACATGGCGAACGCGAGTTTGGCCGTGTTTTATGGTCTTAACGGTGATTGTTGTGGCCGTTATCCATGAATATTAAAATACTGATGCTGTTTACTGTGATTCGCTGACTCCTGGACAAGCCAGCGACTGGCTGATTGAAAATTCGGATTGATGGATTTCTCGTGTTTTTTGTGATATTTCCGTTAGCGTGTCACGTAACATCGATTCCAGTGACCACTGTTGTCAGAGGTCAAATAAGCCCTGCCCCGTCCCGTCTCCGCTTGAAGCAATGGTGATTAATTAAATGTTGTTTATTCTGCACGTGGATATGACTCATGTCTTACGGGTGACTACCTTCTTCTTTAATATCAGGCTTTTTTTCCAGTTGCTAAAATTAGTTTTGAAATGGTCATGCATTGCTGTGTCTGGCTATTGAAAATGGTGCTTCCAGTTAGTTAGTAGTTAGATCAATGACCATGAGAGGCAAAGTTGGGTTGATCTCTAACCTTTAACTAAGAATTGCTAAAATACATAGACGTGGATGTGTAATTTTTAATCTGTAAAGATGTGTGTTTTGCTGTTTGCCGTTTGCGTTCGTTATTTCCAAGACATTGAAGTGGCTTCGGATCTAAAAAATGAGTCCAAGAAGGGCCGTTTAAGTCTTGCGGTTTGCACGTCTTGGACCTGATGTGCCGGCTATTCGGTAATTCTTCTGCATGCCTATTTCAGGCTAAGATACCTTGCGAATCGACCCACAATCAATGCCGAAATGGCACTTGCGAGGTACTCTATGAGCTCTTCGAAACTCGGGTTCAGAGCCAACCAAAGACGGCGTCCAGAATTTCAGGATTTCGATGTAACTGCAATCCTGGGTGGACCGGCGTCTTTTGCGACCGTGAACTCGACGTCTGTCTGCACCACGAGTGTCAGAACGGGGCCAAATGCGTTGGCGTGGGCAACCATTATCAATGCCAGTGCCCTGAAGGTCTGTGTTTTGTCTACGAATGATGCATTTCTCTTTCCAAACTTTCATTCCCATCAAAATAAGCGCTTTACCTGTATGTTATGTCAAATGGCGGAAATCCTTCATGGAAATGGCGCAGTTCAATAGTCATTAAGGAGTATGAAAAGACAACTAGCCTCTTCCAGGCATACCATTGAAGGCTACAAAAGCCCGCAAATGGTTCGAATGTTTGAGCTGATGCCATTGGCATCACCCAAAAATGGCAAACACCAGTACAAAAAATAATGAAATGCGAGTGTGGAAAAAGTTTGTCGCAGTGGCTAGTGAACCGTCCAGGGAGTTCGGCAGCTCGTTTGGGAGGGGGGGGGGAATTTTGATGAACGATGCAGAGAGTTGCAGCTAACTGAGGTCCTCGTTCAAAACGTAAATGTTCCTAAGCAACTATCGTAACTCGCTTAGTCTTTTAATCGTTTCCAGTTAACCTGCTGATATCGCTTGGTGAATTTGTACAATCATACCTAGAATTAGGGAGGTGAGCTCCCTGCTTCGGCCCTTGCACATTTTGGAATGAGCTTGGTAAACACATGTGTAGGACACAAATTCCGTCAAGTCCACATCTGCTTTACTACCGAGGCTGCCGTGACACAACCTAAGCAAGGGCATCTAGCCATTGATTTCTTGTAGTATGCAGTTGTGAATGCATTTTTGGTGAAGTAATAGAGCATATCCGGCTAAAAAGTGTTTTGCTGTGTGATACTCCTGGCCTCATTGAATACACCTTGCCGGAAACGAAAAAGTTTTCTAGGCACAACGAATTTTTTCAGTAACAATAACGTTTGTAGAACTGAGGATTGCGTGGACCTTCTAATTACGGTTAAAAATTTGACTAAATTTTGAGAACAGGATTTTGATGGAAGGGAGAATGAAATGAATTGATGAGAACACCAGTACGCTAGTGGAAGAGGGTTTCGAGGGGCGTAGGGTTAGGCTCAACCGAAGTCAACTTAGCAGCTGCCATCAGCTGCAGCAACGTGATTGCGGACAGTTACGTTTAGGGGGCTTTTTCGAAGATATTTATTTGGCCTGTGGGGTTGGCAACTCAGGCCGTGCCGTGGGTTGTGCCACTGGGTGAAGTGTTGCAGCCCTAACACTGCGTCGGCGTGTCGTTTGGCCCGTGTCGCGTGCCAGAGTAGCAAGAGTACACAAAACCTCAAAACAGCGTGGCGATAAGGTCGGCGGCACAACCCCACCCACCCACCCGCTCTTCTCCATCTCCCCTTTCCCCTCTCAGCCACACCCTGCACTTCCTGCTGCGCTGGGCCCCTTGAGATCCACCTCAATGACTGGGCAGCAGTAGGCGATTAGGCGTCAACTCTGGCCAATCTTTTAAGTATTTATAAATCAGCTTTCACGGTGGATGTCATCCCCCCTTTCAAGATACCAGCGAACCTTAAACCTAGAAATCTAATGCTACTAACTTTTTAAAAAAATTGACCACGAATAAGTTGTGGCAACTTGCGGTCAGTGCAGATTGTTCCGTTTCTGTGATTCATGCGTGTCAGAAGTTAAGGTTCATGCAATTATGTTCCATTGGGAATGCATTCCTTGCTGTTCTCAATGGTGATCGGGTTTGAAGTGGACGTCCAGTCCGGCCAGCTTGCCATCAGGAGCATGGCCTTTCCATCTGTGCAAAGTTATACTACTCAAGGCGGACCATTACCAGGGTTAGCAATCTGGGATTCGTGTCTTGCTGTACTAATGTGAATTGGTGTTTCTCAAATTCGAGTTAAACTGTAACAAATACTCTGCTGCTTGGTGAGCACCGCACAGTAATGTACATTTCGACTGTCCTCATTTACAGGTTTCGACGGTCTCCTATGTGAGCAGCCAATCAGAGCATCCATACCGAACCAATCAAATAAAAAACGCGAGGCTCAAAATGGCCTGGATGAAAAGTGCCAAGTTCTGGGCTGCGCCAACCTAACAGCAACAAATGGAACTTGCTTAGGGCGGTGCATTCAAGCAGGATGTTTCAACCAGGAGCAGCTGAATGCGTGTAGGGCTTGGATCGACTGCCTGGAAGCAACGAAATCTGACTTCGGGCCCGGACAGAGGTCCTGCGTCGAGCGCTATCGAGATGGTGTCTGTGATCACGAATGTGCGATATCTAGTTGTTTCTACGATGGATTCGATTGCACAGACGCAGGGTAAGTCCCACAGGCAAAATGAGTTTGAATCTACTTACGAAATGCTTTACACAGATGTTATTAAATATTGTACTAATCCAAAAGAAGGTATTTATAGATAGACCTATGTTTTAGTATGCATGCAATTTTGGATCGACGACTCCACAAATGCCTTTATGTACCACGAATGGCTCTTTCCGAGCTGCTTTATAACGTGGTCATTTTGCCGGTCTCATGCAATCACAAAGCATTTCTTGTTAAAAATTAGACTTCCTGGATGGTATTTGTTGGTGCCTTGCTATTTTGGATGGTCGTTGTCGTCACAACGAGAGACCAGGGGAGGAGAGATTGATGTGCTTTCAAAGTGCGACAGAAATGAATTTCTCATGCTGTTGAAAGGGAACTTTCATCTCAGAACTTCATACCTATAATGATTTAGGAAATCCTTTGCTGAACTTCTAAATGTACTTCTACAGTTAAAGAGTGCACCAGAGCACTTCACAGGAGCACGTGCTTTGGTGACCCCAATAATATCAAAGCCTCTACCTACACCTAGTAAGTTTTTTTCGCACGAAACTGGTCTCCCTCCAAAGGCGTATATGGGTGGATTCGGTGAGGCTTGTTATTGCATCAGAATTACCATTTAGATAGCCTGATCATGTGCCTAACTCGCGGTCGTAGAATTGAGGTAAATGTGTGACCTACCAGCTCTCCGACCAACATCTTGATGGTATCGCTTTGGAAGTCCTCGTGGTTTGTCTCTGTTTAGTGAGACGACTTTTGTGTTGTACAATTGAGGTGGCAGTAGCGAGTTCATGACTACCTGAGCCTCACACTTTCTGCGTCTGGTTTTTCATTCCTGACAGGAAGTTGATCGGTGTGTGTGAGTCTGATGGAGTTCTTTTGCGATTGACGACGTTTCGCATAGTTTAAGTGGAGTCAAAAACAATCAAATGACTTCGGCGATTTTTACATGGACAAAGCCGCCACCTGGAAGCTAAATGGTGCTAATTTATTGAACTTGCGTTTAACATTAACTCCGACCTCAAAATACCTCATCTTCGAATAGAACGCAAGACCTTTCCAGTAAAAAGAAAAATTACTCGTGTAATCCTATTCTCCTATTGGCTGGAAAAGGTGTCAAGTTTGCAGGATTTAAGAATATGATCCGAGTTCATTTCTTGTGACACTCATGCGAAAGGTAACTTAATAGGTGTTAGCCATGTCATGGACCGTCTCTAGAACTGTATGTTACGGTGATTTGTTAGTTTGGACGTCCACCTTACATCAATGTGGCACTCAAATTGTGCGCATACCTGTCCAACAAGGTGTCTACTACTGCTCCATGTGTCACCATGCCCTTTCCTCGACGCCAACTTATCTTCACGGCGTTTCACGCTCTTATGGATTGGTGTTCTTTAACAAAGGGCTTTTTGTCATGCGGGAGGGGGGGCGAGCTGTTCTGATTTATTTCAGCGGAAGCGTAGAACGATCAGATAATGTTTAAAACCTGCCCTATTGACGTCACTGGCCGGAGTGGAAACAACGAAAAACGAGGCCTTTATTCCTCACCAACAAACGCAGTGTGTTTTTAATTCGTCCATTGTTCACTTTTCATTGTATTGAGCAGACAGTTCACTTAAAATGCATTTTATACTTACCCCAACTCCTGGTGACGTTGGTTTTCTAAACATGTTCACAAAATCAGCTTCTACACCTGTGGTATTATCGGTCTCCAATCACATAGGGCGTCTTTATCTATAACTGGTTTTAAATGAAGCAGTGTTAAGCAAAGTGCATAAAGTACACAATTGGCAAATTGCAATTAGACCCTGGTTCGACTCCCTTGAGGTGACAACGTCCAACCGACCTTCCAACCCAACTGTTTATAATCACAATCAAGCAAAATGAAAGGCCCTCGCCTAATCGACTTCCGCTGGCAGACGAACAAGTGCACTTAAGGCGATGTACACGGCATGAATCGTGAAAAGGTGTTAAGGTGATAACACCGTGCAAGCGTGTTTCGACGTGTTCAACGCGAAACCAGGTTCTAAGCGCACTTGCCTGAGCTGACACACGGAGTTTCGCTCGTCACAACCTCGCCATCGCATTGCTTCGAAACTTCCGAGTGGTAAAAGTACTCTTGGACATAACCCCATGCTCAAGAACGGTTTTGGCGTTTTTGATGGTTTGATTGGTGGATCTTGTGGGGAAATATTGCGCGCAAGTGATTTTACGCGTGCACTAGTAACACCAGGTTGTTTGATTTGATCATAGCATATTCCTCTGCTCTGTGCAGATTCCAGTTCTTCGGTTGGTCGTTCTAGCATGTTTTAACATCTGTCGAGGCCTAATCATTTGCCTAACTCACAGTCGTAGAATTGAGGTAAATGTGTGACCTACCAGCTCTCCGACAAGCATCTTGATGTTAGTGCTTTGGAGGTCCTCGTGGTTTGTCTCCGTTTGGTGAGAAGACTTCTGTGTTGTACAATTGAGGTGTCAACCTGTCCCTTGCCTCCCTTTTTTAACTCTCAACTAAACCACTACATTTGCAGGTCCAGTGTCAATCATATTTGGATTTCAGCTTTAAAAGAGTTTTGCGTCATCAGTGAATCTCTCAGCGCTGGTTTTCCCTTTGTGTGGCAATTTTTTCGCCATTCGATTTCTTTGCCCCAACCACGCATAATTTTGCTCATTGTTTCCCATTGACTTTGATGCAACTTGCACCCTCTGTAGTCCTGGTGGCTCATGTGAATGCACGATTTAGTGGACCCACTAAACTCGTCTCCCAGCCATTCATTAGACGCTGCGCTGCGCAGTGCAACACAATTAGCGCAATCTCAAAGGCAGCTCTGATTTATGTTGCCAAGCATTGTCACTTCAAGTTTAAGTTGCACAGAATGTGCTCCCACACGACGTTATTGCCTTTCATTGAAAGCTACCATAAATGTCGTCATAAAGCCTAGAAACGTGAGAAGAAATCGCCGTCGAGGCAGTTTAGAGCGCGGGGTTAATTAGGCATGCGCGCGCGCGTGGCATTCAAGTGGCACCGGTGGTGCGGGCAAGACAAACGCTGGGCGGTGGTGCTGGTGGCGGCTGCACTTTCATGCAACAACCACCACCACCACCGCCGCCACAACACCGGGACATTGTTGACATTCTTTTCTGTTTGTTGTTGCCCGGTAAGTTTCCTTTTTGTATTGATTATTTCCATGCCGCGTGTCCCCTCCCCTAGTGGAGGTTGTGCGAGCATTCAAAAAACTAAGTGAAAATGGAGAATTCGATTGTGAGAGCAGGACTGGAATGACCATGTGGCGTGTTAATTGTTTCCATCAATGAAAGGTCTTTGTTTTGCGGAATTTTTTTATTCCATGAAGATGAGGAGGGAGGCCTGTTCACTCAAACATCAATCGTATTCGCTAAAATCACAGCAACCAAAACTGGTCTTCACCCAACATGGATATTAACCGAAGAATGTCTACTTTTACGCCACCAAACAGATCGTCCTGTCCTACTGAAGATCATTGTACGGCGGTCTATGGGGACGGTGTATGCCACCCGGAGTGTAATTTCCCCACGTGTGGTTTTGACGGAGGCGACTGTCTAACTCCGCTGGATCCATCAACACCGCCTCGCATAGACAACGTTCGAACCGGCTACATCGCTCTCGTTTTAAACACTGATAGAAACACATACATCACCCTGGAGAAAACTGTTCTCTCCCGGGTAGCAGAGGCACTTCGCGCAGTAGTTCGACCTGCAGTCGACGAAAAAACCCAACAGCCAGTTATTGTAGACATGGACGGCGGATTAAGAATAAGGGTAGGATTAACTAGCCTTTTGCATGCAGATCCAAGCATGCTATTGAGGTAATATTAGTAGGCGTTATTTTTGCATTGTAGATTACACTTACAATTGACCTCTTACCTGAGGGTTTTCAAGCGAATGCCGGAGAAGCATACGAATCAATAGACTTGGCTGCACACACACTAAAGGCGGCATTAGATACAAAGTCTGTTGACTTGCCTCTACCAGTGGCCCAGTTGTGGGTGGCAAAGGACCCGCACTCTCCGCCACCAGGGGAGACAACTCCCGTCACCCCGGGTGGTCTGCCTTTCCTACGGTCAAAGGATGCCATCGGTCTCTACATTGTTCTCTGTGTGCTTTCTGGGGGTGAGTCAATGGGCTTTAGATAGACAACTTTTCATGAATGCACTTTTGTGCTGCAGCTTATTGTGGTTGTGATCTGACGTGGTATCAACTTGTCAACCTGCGATAGAAATTAAGCAATATGACAGCGTCTAAAACATAGTCATAAGAATGCCAAAAATCTTGACGTTAAATGAAGCGTTCAGCAGCTGCAGTCGAAACATGGAGGGGATGCAGGGTGTTTGCGTGTCCCTCAACATGGACCCAATTTCTTGTCCACCACAGTTTCCCCCTGATTATGCCAATCTTGGGAGTTCATGCCAAACGCACCGTCGAAATTCAAGACATGTTTGGGTTCGGGTCGATTTCAGTTATTTGGTCAGCAATGCAAGCGGAACGACCGATTATTTTCGTCTAAGATTTCAAATGTTTTGGGCATTTGCTGCAGAAGTGCCTACTCCGCGGCTAAAAGTGGTACCGAATTTTCTGGTTTCTTGTTTGTGGTAATGAATAGCATCAAAGTACGTTACGGCGTTACTGCATCCATGTGCAAACAGCTTTGCGATAGCATAATACATCGTTTCTACACATGCTAGTGGGAAATACATATGTTGAGGGCCTTTACCACACGAAGTAGCCCAGAAAGAAAACAAGTCCATAGATGGCAGACACGACCGTTCAACCGACAGCTCAACCAAGTTGTGTGTTTTTACTGATAAAGTTGAGTGGACGTGTCAAAATAAACACAGGCGTCTGTGAGGTCACATGGCTAAAGCAGGTGGTGGTGGTGGTGGCACATGCAGAGGGGTTAATGAACCGGTGGCCTCACGTGACTGACGGGCATGCCGTGAAAAAAAGGGGGGATGTGTGCTGGAAGCTGCGACGACTGGGTCATTGGACGTGAATCCATCGGATTCACTACGCATGCATAAATGACAATGTACAGGAAAATGGGAAAGAGTTGGTGTTTGTGAATCGCATGAGTTCGGTTGCTGAGCCCGCCAGATCCTCCACTTCATTTGGGGCCTTGATGGGGCGAAAAATTGCCTCGCCTCGCCGTAACAGCGATTCCTAGGTGTTGTCCACCTTGCCCACTGCTTGTATTCATGGCCGCAATTCGACTTTCAGTGTTAACCTAATAAATAAGAGGGCTGCATCGCTATCAATAATTTTGTCTTCATCCTTCCTTCTGTTAAACCGTGCACAACGCACGAGCTCACTGGTAGGGCCCAGTTGGGAAGGGGATCAGAAACCCTCTTGCACAAAGCACAGTGTTAATAACCAACTTCGATGACTGTACTTCATTCAAAAATACGACAAATTGATAAAATCCAGTCACAAACGGACAACTGGCTTCTTACCTGCTCGGTTCGATCATGCTCGGCTTCCAGAGATTCTTGTGGCTAAAAGAAATCATTCGTGTTCCTTGTTTGTGGCCTCACATGCAACGCTACGAAACCTCGCGCAACTGACAAAAGTGAAGTGTCTGGCGCGACCTTCCGACAGATATTAAGATTCATCTTGTAATGATTGGTTATTTCTCAGGCACGCGAACCAATCGTTGAGAGGGGGTTCAGTCGGCGGCCGATGAACCCTTCTTGCATATCTAATTATTTTGTCGTTTTGGTGTTGTGTGTGGGGGAGGACACTGGCGAATCCTATTTATAATCATGAGTGCGTGCGGTGGCACACGACTCGGCAGGCGAGACAGGCACGGCTAGATTAAGGTGAGCGGTTTTAGTTAATTGAACTATCCTATACAGCGACGAATTTAACCGTAGTTCGTCAGTGCTTCGTGCTTGTTAGTCATTGGGCCGAATACATGAGTCCTGTATTTTCTTATTAACATGAAAGAGGATTTTTCCAATTTAATCAAGAACATTCACTTGTGATGGTATTTCTTTTAACGCCCTAGCTTCAAGTGAGGGCTGAGCAAAGTCGACTGACCGAGAAGTGGGCTATGCTAATCTACAGTCGCCCTCATCCTGATGCGGTCGGTGTGGTTGTTTCAACTTTGGAAAGTTTCATCATCATTAATGGGAGCTGAATTCCCACTTTTTTCGCAGCATCATTATTGTTTGTCCAGATGATTAATCAACTGGACAAAAAAGAACAATTATGACGTCATTCGATCACTACTTGGGGAGGTTTTGCTCGTGGTGGTTTTATAAAGTGCCTTTCTTCTGGTCATGTCAAAGTTTCATCTCATTAAAAACTTTTTGTTGAGGCATAACCCCATAAATTGAAATAGATTTTGTAAAAGGTCACAAAGGCATGTCTCGTCCCTATTAAAGTGAGCATTAACAGTCTTGAAGCAAGTGAAATCGAACATAGCTATGAGTTTCTTTTAACACCAAAAACTCAGCACCTCTTGACTGCATTTTGGTGCACTAGGTCTTAATGATGTGTCAGGAAAACCATTGGGGGGGTTAGACATTAGCACAATCATTATCTTTTAATGGGTGATTGGCTGTTCATCGTCCGCTTCACGTCCAGCGCAGAGTTTGGGCACATGGACGATACACACTGTTTACATTTTGCAATTGTAACCTGCACCTGGTAGCCACAACAATTGCCAAGTTTAATTCGTCTTGGTTACCGATCCCCACTAAACTTGGTGAGTCACCCTCATGGACTCCCCTAGATGTTGACTGCGACAGCAGACAGTCACTGGGGCATGGGACAGGGACTATAAGCAGGACGTTCTCGTCGCGGCCTCCTTCCAACACTCCACAATTTGCTGTTGTTAACCTCGCCTTGTGGCAACCGGTGGTCGCGGGGGGCCTGGAGTCTCGTTTTAAATTATGCCGTTGTGGAGGTCTCTATGCCAGTCATGCGGACATCTACCCCTGCTGGCGAATTTAAGTGGTAGTGGGGGGGGGGCAATGCAGGCTCCATTTGTTTGTTTTCTCGACTTTCTGGATGTCGAACTTATTGGACGCGCGCACGTAAGCATTTGCATTTTATTCTAAGGTGGTATGCGTATGTAAATACTAGTCTGCTGTTGCTGCTGATTTGCTGCAAAAATGCTCGTCTATTTTAACTGGAGCGGTAAATTATGCAAAAGGCGTCGTCTCGCATCAGCTGATTTGCGTCAGGGCTGAAAACTTTAGATTTAGTGTCAGGGGTTTAGTTCAAAAGCGAACTCCTTTTCAAAAGGTCCATAGAGTAAGTGACATGCAGTTCAGTTATTTGCAAGCTGCGACATTGTCGGAGAACGGCCGGTAAGTAGATTCTCAGGTGTCATGATGAAGGTATCCAAGACTACTGCCCAGGTATTGCAGCCTGTCCCAGTAAAGTAAGTTTTTAGCTGTTGTGTCTTGGGATCCTCACTGAGGTTCCAATCGCCACTTTTTCTTACGCGTCTACTAGAAGCTTAATGTAAAATTGAGGCTGCATGACTCAGCAGATGGGCAACGCACTCGTCAGTAAAATGCATGGATATTGCTCGGAGTTTTGGTTTCCCCAAATGGCTCCAACAGATCTAAACGTTCCTGAACATCAAACTAAACTTCCGGTTGTTCAAATACTCAAGTTAATCCTATTTTGTTGAGTTCAGCAGTAATAATCCTACTCGTCTTTATCGTGATTCAACGGCGTCCGTGGAAGCAGGCAAGGAAGCGGGTGAGGACCCATGGCATATGGTCCCCGCCCTCCTTCTTTTTCCATAGCAGCGGCGGCGGCGGCAGTGCCCATCCCCGTGCTCCCCCCGTGCTCTCCACCGACCCTGGCATCCTCCTGCAACAGGGACACAAAACGGTCCCCAAAACAGCCGCTTCCCAGCTAGAGGATCTGCTCCACCCTGGTGGCAAAAGACCCCGCTACTCACCCCCCACAACAGTGAGTTGCTTGAGACCTGTTATTACATAGCCTTTTTGACTAGAAAGAAAAACACAACTCACAGTCAGCTGATATTACAACTTTATGTGTTCATTAATGTGTCATGATACAGGAGGCAGAGATTTTCGGTGACCTTTAAAAATAGCAGCTTTTAAGATTTTACTACGCATGGCTGACGGCATAATTCCTCAATGCAAAAAACTTCCGATTCTTATGGTAATTTTTAAGTCTGGATCATCCGAAATAAAGTAACAATGACCAGTCCCGCTACGAGATCCCTGAAGCAATTTAATTTGCATAATGCGATTGGCTTATCGATTAATTAACGGTGGCTTTTATCATGGGCCATTTGCACGCTATTGGGGATTCCTACATTTTCAAGCATCATGCTGGAAACGATCTACTGATATGTCAAGGGAGGATATGATAGAATGCTGAAAGGGAAATAAGAAAAAAATTGCTTTTGTGAACAGTAAGTCCCATTACTACGACGCAAACAACTGCACAACAACTTGCTTCTGGTGATTAGTAGTTTCACTGATGGCGTTTCTGCTTAAGGACTAAATATCAGAAGATTTAACTCTTACCCCTATGGCAACCTAGCTTAAGCTGTCGCATATCGTTAACTTTGTGCCACATTTTCACCATCGTAGGAAAGCTATGAAGAGGAGGCCTGTGGGCTTTTGCATCAAGAAAGTCATACAGGAGGTTACACAACTCACCAAACCATTGACCCGAGGCCACATCGCCAGACCGACGCTGCTACCGCCGTAACTAAGGAGCTCACAAGCACGATTCGGGGTTCTGACGGTCTCCATCCCCTTAGTCCCGAAGCTCTCTCCAAACTCGAGGTAGTCATTCGAGATAATCAACATTCGCTGGCCTCACCACAGCTGTATGTGCATCCACACCACCTCAAGAGGTCCTTCTCTACTGTCGAAGCATCTGAATTCGAGTCCCCGGTGTTTGTGACCGGTGCTGGACGAGGCATAGGTGCGGCCACTGACAAGTTGCAGCACCAGGATTCCTTCGTCACTACCCGAAATCCTTTAAATGGGGAGACGATTCTTCATTTGGCCGCTCGAATGAATGTTGGAGCCCGAGCTATTCGTCGTTTGTGCGGTACCCTGGTTGCCGAAGACGGTGCTCCTGCTTCATCTGAAAAGACGCTCGCTCTTCTTTGTTTAGACAAGGATGGACGATCACCTCTCACAGCATCGGCGGCGACAGATGGATTAGAGACAACAACCGCGTTGTATCGACTTGAGAGGGAAGCAATAACGTGCAGTCGAAGCGCCGCCTCTGCGCAGTCAGTGCCTCCAACATCCACATCAGAGGGTGGTGGAGCAACTTCGAATGAAAAACCGTCAACGGAGGCCCGTCGCCGTGCACGCCACGTTGAGTCACGACGCTCAACACCCTTAATGGTGTCGCTCAAAGCTGGCTGCACAGAGGTGACAAAACTCTTGCTAGACGAAGGATGCTCCATTCAAGGGGTGGATGAGACTGGGCGAAACCTTGTGCATTGGGCGGCGGTCCTAAATGCCGCTTCTCTGCTTACACGAATCTCGCACACAAAGGGCTTCTCGAGGATGCTGGAGGCGCGAGATGACTGTGATAGAACCCCTCTTTTGTTGGCAGTGCGCGAGAACTCGCTTGAAGCCGCGCAAATTTTGCTCGAACACCAAGCGATAATTGACGTTTTTGACTACACTGATAGCAGTCCAATAAGCGAAGCAAAAGCACGCGGTTTTACTCGTATGTTGGCCCTGCTGATGGAGTACAAACAACGACGAAATCCTGTCGGGGGAGCTGGACCTGGTACACGCCCCCCTGCGTTAAAGGAACGCCACGAAAGCGAAAGCTCTGCTACTTCAACAAATTCTGAAGAGGCTGCTGGTTCGGAATTTGGCGCTACCCGCATTAGTACGGACAATGCTACTTCCTCAGCACAGTACACTCCACACTACCAAAATCCTCAAATTTCTCCCCCCGATGATACTCCAACGTCCTCGGCTGGACCTGAAAAATGGCATCAAAAGTCCTTTTGCACTGAAATTATAAAACCCGATCCATCGATTTGCAGCAGCGGCAGTGGAGTGCTTAAACAGGAGGATCGCATTTCACCACAGACCCCTTCAACATGGAGTCCTCCTTTGATGGCGCCCTCAAGCATCAAGGAGATCTCTCCGCCGGCCACAACAACCCCGTACTGGCAGCAACAAGGAAGCTACGTTGAGAACTACTACAATGGCGGAGAGCCCCAGTTTCCTGCCCCGTTTCCCGGAAACGGATTCGAACAAGCACATCAGGTCTACCAGAGGAAGTACCAAGATCAGCAACGGCCAAATCAGCAGCAGCAGCAGCAACAACAACAACTTCAGGTTCAACAAATGACACCGAATGGACTGTGCTCTCCAAGATCCAGGCGACCTCCGTGTTACTCAGCAGGTGGACAGCCTTCTGCAAGGGGCATGTTCGTGGTCCAGTTGTAAATCAAACTGAAGATTTAGGAAACCTACGCATTTCAGCTCTCTGGCAGCTGACAGACAGCCCTACCCGTTGTTAAGCCCCCTTCCTGTGTACATATTCCAATATTACCTCCACCCACCAGGTGATCTTGTTTTTTGCCCCCCTCCCCCCAACCCCAATTTCCCACCTTGTATACTCACAAGCATATTTTTTCTTTATCTGGCCTACAAACCATTCGCCTTTCATTTTTGACGGGCCAAATGAAAATCTGTCTAAATCACGTCGGTATAAATACATGTAACCATTTATTTCCGCGATGACTCTAAATGCTAACTTTTGGGCCGCCTGGTTTGTGAGTAAAGTAAAATTCTGCGTACGTAAATGAGTTCACGTATAAAGTGAAATCATGCTAAAGGATGCTTTCAGAGTCGCTTCGGTCAGGTTAAATTTCGAGGTAGAAAAACCCAACGATTATAATAAAACAAGCTCGGTAGAGCAAGAGTTGACCTTGTTGAGGACCTTTTACCGCGAGGCTAACCCAGAAAGACAATAAGTCCAGAGATGGTAGGCACGACCGTTTACTAGACCGCCCAACCAAGTTGTGTCGTTTTACAGTTGAGTGGACATGTAAATATGAACAGGCGTTTGTGAGGACACATGACCAATGCGGG